ATCAAATTTTTTTTTTTTAGGATAACATGTCTTATCTGAGCATATACATTAAAGGAAATTCAAGAGGATCGATAAATCTTCTTTTTTGATGTATGAATTAGATTGATTCAAGTAATTCTTCTGAACAACAAACCATTTTATAAATTGGAGTGGTTAGAATTTTATAATATAGAGATAGTAAAAATAGTTGAGAAACTGGTAACATATTCTTGACTGATGAAACCTTCGAAGAATAATCAACTTATGGAATCAAAGTGATAATAGTAGCATAAAATTCTAACTCTTATAGATAATTCTAGAAATGTTTTATTAGTAATTATTTTTTGTACTTGCATTATGCCTTGACTTGAAAATTTAATAAAACAAGGTTGAGTTACTGTTTAAAAAAAAAAAAACAAGAAAATTATAACTTATCTCGAAACACTTTTTTCATTTATTTTTAAAAGATTTTTATGATATCTACATAAATTTTCATTATGCTTTTTATTTCACAAAAATTATTAATTTTTATATATACCAGGTTCTATTGTTAAACATATCTTTTTATTTGTAGAAAATCCAAATATACATCACGTGATAAATTGCGTCACAGAAACGAACTATGACCGTAGATCGATTCGCGAGACTATTGCGGGAAGCAAGAAACCGCCGAAACTACCCATCACTTAATTTGTCTTTTAAGGCTCACGCAAGGATGAGGTAATAGGGCATGTAGCAAAAATATTGGCAGGAAAAGACAGCCAGTAACAGGTTAAATGGGGTGTGCATTAGATAGTATGTACCCGAACTTGTAGACAAGACTTTTAAAGGCAAACTTACCTTGGCCAAATCTTTATGTGCCTCTATTCGGGTATTGATTGTTTATGTATGCTTGGTGGGTTTGGTGCGCGAGCCATAGTCAGCAACTGACTCGCCGATTGCCCCACGACAATACTCCTATAAATTTATTTCCCTGTGACCAATGTTAATTGGTCTGTCCGTCCGCTCACATGTCACGTGAGTTTATGATGTAACAATGATGTTAAAAAAATAAGGTTTAGCTTCGGACTCAACGGTTTCCGTCTTCCTAGTTATTGGACACTGTGGATTATATCTTATCTGATCGGGGTTAGATCGACTAAATTGATGTTTGGTTAATTCATTGGTGCTAGGTGTTGTCAAGAACCTTATTTACAGTAGAATTTTAAATGGCATTAGATCATAAATGTTTCTTATTTCAACCGAAATGAAAATTTAACTTTATTATGTTCTTATACAGCACTATCCGATGCAATGCAATAAGGATAATCAAAGTTTTCATTAGAAATGATGATATTTGGTCTTATGTTGCTATGGCAGAGGGTTGGATTTCAAATGAGAAAATTAAATAATAATTATTCTACTAATACTATACATAATTAAATTATCACACAAAAAAAATATTGACTGGTGTGATTACGTGATTAAAAGTGTCATAATCATATTCACATAACGATGTAAATGACCTCGAAATAACCTTTTGTTTTTTTTGCGACACGTACAAAACGAAAAAGAGTATAAAGTCCAGGTAGTCGAGAAATTCGAGAAATGGATATTGGAGGAAGACAACACCCACAATAAGAAAAGCAGTTATGTTAATGGTGCGGACCGCGATCCTTCGGAATAAAAAAAAAAAATAATTTTTCGGAAAATTTAGACTCGAGATCGAATAGGCATTAGAATTGGTTGGTTTCTGGCGAGGGAAAAAATAAAGGAACATAAGAGATCATATCTTTCGACACAAAATGTATGGGGGCTGCGGTTTCATTGATTGGTGTATCGGGCTCTTGATAAGCTTGGATATATGGATCCATATAACCATTGTAGTTGTATGGAAGGTAAGTGAAATACCAATTTTGTCCATCACTAGAAACTTCTGGCATAGAAAAAAAGTACATGAATTCGGGGTATATAAATGTTGTTGTGGGGAAGTTAAAGTACTGATTTTTTACGGTCTTTGGTGGGCCGCGTTTTTTTTCAGGTTTAATAAATTCACATTTGAGATTATTGATTTTGCACCTATCGCATTTATATATACCAGTGCATTTGGCCTTGCGTTTTTTACAGTTTTCACAAGCAATTGTTACTTTTTGTCTTTCGCGATTATCTTTGGTTTTTTGGTTCGAAATCGTGTCCATTTGGAAATTAATTCTCAATATTCATCCGAAAAGTATTGATTCAAAATCGTGAAATGTCAAAAGAATGTGACGTTACGTTCAAGTTACTAACGAAGGTTAAAGGGACTTGGGACTTGGAATTATTGAACACTTTGATCGATACATTTATAAACTTAATGTGGTGCCGGAAAAACAACGATCATACGGGCGTATCTTCTTGCATTAGAATTATTCCGTGCATGCAGACAACAATAAGATTCAAATAGCATAATTCTTTGATCTCTGTCAACTTTATTGCATGTGAATATACACCAAAGTCAGCCTCGAAATTATCAACGAACCATGGTTATTGTAGTCCCATTTCCTTTATTTTCGGTAAAAAAATCTCTGCTGGTTACAGTACAAGGTCATGGAACATTTAAATACATTTAAATAAAATATCTACTACTAGAATAATTTGAGCAAAAAAACAGAGTCGTTTACATTATAATCGGCAATGTCGTCTACGAAATGAAAGTAAGAATCGGAATTTTATTTAAAAAATTTTTATAATTTTATTAATATGTAAATGGTTACTCATAATCATATTATATATAATAAGTAATATTTTAAATAATAAAATTAATGATTATAATGATTACTTAAATGGTTCGTATAAAAAAAGAAGGAGAGAAAAAAAAAAATTTTTTTATTAAAAGATTTAACTTTTGTCCAACCCTGTATAATTTTTCGTACCGTATATGGGACATTTTTTAATGATGATTCTCTAGACGTGCACGCACATCGAATGGATATGCGATCATTGAAAAATCTGTGCATAAGCCGACAATATTCTTACAGAGTGCACAACATAACAATATCTCACACGAATTTGTTAATGAGTGCCTCAATCACCGATTCGGTGTTTTTCATTTGATGGATTCTTCGAAACACATATAACTGCATATTCGTTCCAGGATTTCGCCTTTGCCGTCGATTAAATTGGTAAAAAGTACGTGTTGAATGTTTAAGACTTTGGTTAGTACGAGTGCATTTACAAAATAATAAATTCAATCTTATTATCTGGGCGCTCCAATCGAAGTCCTTGGCAATATCTTTACTGTATTTACCAAACATCATAAGGATAAACACGGGATGATCTGTACATTCATTGTTACCGAATTCGCTTGTATTTACATTTTTTAACAATGATCTCGAATATGCATACATCTCAGCCAATTATAAAGTAAAATGGAAGAGATCCAGATTGCATGAGTTTTATTACACGTAGTTAAAACAATGATTTTATTCCCATGCGCCCTTATATTGGGAAATTGGAGGTGCAACGCGCATTTGTGTTGTGTGTCCCCGACATCTTCTCATTTGCATACTGAAATTACACTCTGACACATACCATTGTGTTTCGGTCTTCCACATAATTCAGAGTGCATTTTCGCTATCTATCTCTAGCATCTCTTTTTTACAAGCATAATATTTGAGGCCGCCGGTCCCTGAAATCCACCACGTGATTTTCACTCGACCCTTACTGTGTATAGCCGTGTTTCTCGGCAAATAATACCCCTTGTCAGACACCGTCAATTTAGTCAAATTAAATGATGAATTGTCGGTCCGGGGTACGGTGCTAATTAATGGTTAGGGCCTAAAAGTACAAGGGACCATTTGCCGAAAGATCCGATACTTTGTTCGGAAGCCCTAAAAATATTTTGGCACAAAGATAACCGAGATTTTTTTATCAAAACCTAACCGAAAAAAAGATATAGGCATTATATCCCACCTTTCGAAAGTGGCGAAAAATTCGGGCAGGAAATGTCAAATGATGATTATTACAGAATCGTACCTCGATGAATTAGATAAGCAAGAGAGTGAAATTCGTTTTTGCTGCTTAAAGAATTTCCGAGATTGATATGGACCATAGACACAATTTAGTAGTCACTAAGGCTTTTAAGAGAACCTTGGATTCAGATTGTCATATGATTTAGAAACTTTCAAATACGCGTGTAAAGTGGTTGGTCTGGAAATAGAACGCCATCAAGCATTGTCGAAGTTACGAGATCGCTGGATTGTATTGTTAAAGTGCTCTTGGCCGAGTTGCCACATTCCGCTAATAATTCCTATCTTCATTATACCACAGTATTTCTCATAATATAGAAACTAGCTTCGCCTTCTACATCCGTTCATCCAGTCTGCGTTTCGGAGTGTATGTCCTGGAGTCGGTCTTGCTACTTCTCTTCCATGTATTCCATATTCCTTTCACAACCAACAAACCATATAATTGCCATTAATGATAATGTAAATATGCAATATTTTTGCAGGAATCGGCGAGTCAGTCGCTAACCGGTGGTAGCTCGCGTGACCTAAACATAGCAGAATACGTACTTCTTATAGTTCAAGGAGTGTGGTCAATCAAGTTTATTTCTTCTCTAGTGATTGGTCTCTATTACTGCTTGCTGCCATTACTTTGTTCACACATGACTCATGACACAATTTTTTCCATCCCTTTTGTCAACCTTCACCCCTCACTCTACCCGTAATTCCCATGTGATGTTTATGATTCTCATGTTTTGCATAGAATCATCGCGCGACTATCGTTACTCGAAAAAAAATGATTTTCATCATTTATAGACAGTGAAAAGCTTCGGAAATGTAATCCTCTTTCTGACTTTGCATTATTTTTTTTCTATTGGGTTCTCTGCTTTATCCAAGATCATTCTACGCTTGACATATGTTGTATGAAGACAGTGTATTGATTGTACTTTCCATGATATAATAATAGACTTAAATGAATTTATTCTTTCAATACTTGTCTTATGCTTATATGAGTCTGCATATGACTTTCGTTCGCAAGTAATTAAGAATCTAAGCTTGGTGTTGTCTCGTTTAACTCATTGATATTACAAAAATAGTTTGACGAATTCCCTTTTCTCGTTTTAAATAATTACCCTGCAACTTTTTGCAGAAATCATTGAGATGTAATAGTGAAATATAGTTTTCTTGTTGCATCAAGATGGCTGATTTCATTGCGCTTGGTTGTAAAATCGACATGCTGTTCATTCCAAACTTCCCCGATGCTTTTTAAACATCTACCTAAATAATATTGAAATACTGGTGCTACCTTTTTATCACCTGGAGCTCTCGAGGAAATTTGTGTTTCTCGCTATTCTATAATGACTAACATTTAAACTTGAAATTTGGCGCAGACATGAAAGATGTGTTCTAACAGCTTATCGCAAGGTGAATTATTATATTACTTATTCCATTATGAAATCAATGAATTGCTTTGGATTATTAAACAAAAGAATATAGTATAATTAAACATTTTTTGGATTTTTTATCATTCATTGCTCAAAAATCATCACGTTAAAATTATAATTGGTTCTTTGATCTTGAATTTATAAAATTACTGAAATATTTCATAAGGCTTCATCTTACCCTTCTATTATACTCTATATGGATTTGATTTTAAAAAATAAAAAATTAATAGAGAAATTTTCGTTTAGAAATTTTTTTTACAATTTTATTTGTATAATTGAAAGAATTATTTTACGGAAATATCAATTTATTTCAAACGGTTTATTCATTTTTAATTATAATTTTATATAAATTTCATGGAACATAATAACTCTTTTCACTGATCCCCAGTTTCCTTAAAAATTTCCTTTTTTGGTAATCCTTTTAAAAACCAAGAAGCCAGCTTCCAATATCTAAAAAACATATAGGCTAAAAACAACAAAAGCTTGCTACCAAGCTTCAAAACACTATACTTATTTGTAATAACAATTATAGGATAAGTATTAAAGGAAAATTATCACAATATAATTTTTCTTTACAGAAGAAAAAAAACTTCAAGAAAATTAATTTATAATAAGCTCCTAGAAGTTCAACCTCAACTCTGCAAAGCTCTCAATCAGGCCAGTACAGGTTAATACCTTTCTTGGTACCCAGAAAAGCACTGTAGGCAATAACTTCAGTCAATAAATAGTTAAAGCTTAGAATTTACAACACCTAGAAAAATATTCAAGTCTTAATTACTTAACAATAAAGAATAACATAAACAACATAACAATACTCTATATCTAGAATCACATAGCATAAACATCTCACATCTGTCAACTTGAATAGCAATTTACTTACATGCCTAATAAAAAACTTGTTTATATGTTTACACTTTATACTCATATATGATAGTAATTATTAATAATACAATAGATTTAAAAATAGTAACACAGCTTATAATATACAGATTAATACTTTGTTTACATAAACAAACAAATATAAACAAATAGACAAATAAGCACTACTTAAACAAACAAATGATAATTATTATCTAATTTAGAAAATCTCAGCAACAATCAAAATAGTAAAACAATAAAATATATTAATACTATATAAAGCAACCTATTTTTCATATTATATAATCAATATATCAATGAGAAAACACAAACTTCTATAGATTGCTAAAAAAAGAAAAGCACATATTATTGAAACTTTAGTCTAGTTAACAGATAAGTATAAGCAACAAAGAAAATTATAAATTTCATAAACCTTTTTGAATGTCACTTTAACTCAAGAAACTATCACAAATCCAGCTTCAGGTTCAATTAAATACTTGATTATTGATAGTATCCTTGCTAGAATTATGGATGTTGATCACACTATCTTTATCAAAATCAATATTCTCAGATAATATATTCTTTATTTATGGATTAAAGAATGTAAAAAAGAAGAAAATCTTTTAATTCTCTTCTTAAAAGACAATTATTTGAATA